TCAAAAATGGGATTAAAGTGTTAATCATAATGTGTATAGGAAACACGTGATAATACAACAATGATTCCCTTTCAAATTATTTGTACTTATTCAACCTTTTATATCCAACTTTTAAAGTTATTGTCACTTCTTATAATACCTTGTTTAAAATTTTATAACATTTTTTTAAAAAATTCATCACATGCCCCTATGTAATATTCCTTCCATTCTAAATTTATAAAATATTTTTAAATAAAATTATACATAATAATAAAGCTATTAAATACATTTTATAAATTTATTTTTGTAAAATAAAAATATAAATTTTCAAAAATAACATTCACTTAATACTCTACTTATAAAAATATATTAAAGAGAAATAATATAAATGAAAAGGATAATATTAAAAAAATATCTTTAGTAAAATCTTAATTTTATTAAAGGATTTTATATTTTAGAATATCAAATTTTTTTAAAAAAAATATTTTATAATTTGATATCGAGGTAGTATTTTTCGTCCGAGACCTAGTAAATGATTTCATCACATAGAAGAAGGAAAAATGGAAAATGGGAAAAAAAAAAATTGAGGCCAATTTGCTTCCCTGGTCTTCGTGAAAATCATGCCGTTTTTTATTATCAGAGTAGAGACATCAATCCCAAGACAGATGCTTCTTTGCTGGATGGATCTTGTCGTTTCCTTTACTTGCTTCTATGGCTTGTTTTTTTCCCCCCAATTCTCATTCTAGAGTGTAAGTATATTTTTATCAATTTATATAAGTTAAGAAAATTGATTAAGTATAATTATTATCTAAATTTAAAAATTTAGATTAAATTATTATTGTAATTAATGAAATAAGTTTATATCATAAAAATAAATAATTTTATGAGAAAGAAATTTTATAAAATATAACAAATATTTCTTGAACACTAACCAAATTTTTGTCCTAGAGCAACTGCCCAAAAATAAAAGAAAGTACAAATGGATAAAAGTAGTGAAATAACACTCAATTTTAATTCAAAACCTCAAAACTCAAATTTATATGTCATTTTTTTAATTTTATATTAATTATTAAATACAATTTTATGTAATATGAAACTTTTTACATGATTTCATGGAGTAATAATAATTCACACTTAAACAACCTGATATAATTAATAAGATGTGAATAATTAGACATGGCAATGCACATATTCTATAATGGACATTCTATGACCCCTTGGGATTCCCCATTTCACATTTAAGGTGATAATTAGGAAAAGGAGTAGCTAGTGGGATTTGAACAACTATATATGGCCTTTTCCAAGTTTATATATATAATAGTTGAAGATTTCAAGCTCATGGGTAAGGCAAGAGTTTGTTTAAATATAACATATCGTCTCTAAAACACCTTTTTTATATTACAAAGAAATATTGGGAATATGCTCCAAATATACCCTCAGATATTTGTATCTCTTTTTAAAAAAAATTAATATATTTTGCTTTATACCAAAAAAAAAAGAGTATCTTTTGATGAATTAAAAGATCATGCTTGTTGAGCAAGCGTCTTTTAATTTGGGGGTTCATGTTTTTTTTTTATTGTGTCTTTCATATTGAAATACTGATTTTGTTGATAGAAATTTTAACTATATATAGCTTATATATGTATTTCGTTCGTGCAATACACACACACACATGAATTTATCAAACTTGTGTAGTTGGGATTCAATTGTTTTGAATGCAAATAGTTTTATATACCTTGTGTAAAATCTGTGTAGCTTGATTATACAGTTGATTGATTGCTACTGGTTTATCTTATCTGACGGTTTCTACGTTTTTAGTTTTTAGAATTATAACATAGTATAAAAAATAATTCAATTGTCATCATCGATTATGACCATAACAATTATGGAAAGTGTGATTTCTATGCAATTATGATAATTTATATGCCCGTTATTGCTATATAATCGTATAAAAAGGGTCACTCTTTCCACCAAGTCACCAGCTATACAAACGGACATTGAAAGTGTCTTCTATGTTATAGTGATCATTTTTTTTTTACCGGATTGATTTTATATTTATTTGAGAAATGTATAAAGATTTTTTTAACTGGGATAAAAAGAATAACTCTTATAACAGTGCTAGTTTTTTTTATTTTCTGATAAAAAGATAAATTTTATTTGTTACTGGACACTGAATATAATACATATTTAAAAAATGTGACCCAATCAAGTGATTGGACCAAAATAAGAAAACCAACGACAAAATAGAAATATAAGAAATCATTCTTTATAAAAAAAATTTATGTAGTTTCGTTTGAATTTCAAGTGAAATTACTTATGTATTAAATTTTTTTTTTTCGACAAGCAAACTTATGTATTAATTAAATTATGAGATAACATAACGTCACGGTTTTAATGAAAATGACCAAAAGCATCGAAGATTCAAATAAATCAATCAAATCAAGGCACATTTGTTTTAGTTTATTTTATGAAAAAACATAAAATTTTTAAAAAATTATTTAGTGACTTTTTATGATGTTTGTATTTTTTATAATAAAAATGAAAGAATATGTCATAAAACTAGCAAATAATTACTTTTTTTATTATTATAACCAAATATAAAATAATATTTTTTTTTTAAAATCTCTACAAAATAATTATTTTATAAAATCTTTAAACTACCTAAAAATCACTTATTTTTTAATCTTAAACAAACCACTGCAATAATAAAACTCTGCAAATATATAGAAATGCTACTATAATTATTTAGTGGCAAAACAAATATATTATTAAATTTTTTAGTAAAAACATTAATTAATGGTGTTTTCCAAAACAAATTGAAACGTAATGGTGTTTTCAATTTTACTCAAGCAGAGCAGATTTTACGAGAAAGTGCAATAATTAATTAAACTTCATTGCCATTAAAGTATCGATCACTATCACCCATTTCCAATAGTAAATCAGTAAAATGATAATGCTGGTCAGCCAATATACTCCTGTGTTAACAATAATCTACCACGTTTTAATTTCTTTTAAATTGTACTACTCATGTCATATTATTTAAGGTTAAAGGTCATTTTTATCTTTAAACTATACAAAAAAAGTCATAAATGTTTCTAAACTTAACTATGTATCAATTTTGTCCCTCAAATTTAAAGATTCTCTTTCTCATCATTCTATCATTTTTTTACCATTATTGGGCAGTATATTATATTTTTTTATTATAAAATATTTTAATCAAAAGGTAAAAATAACCCTTAACTTAAAAAATATTAAAAAATAATAAGATTCATTGATGACTAAGGAATATTAAATGTTTTTAATATGTTAAGATGATGATGAAAGGAATCTTTAAAGTTGAGGGACAAATTGATTTATAATTGAGTTTAAAAGTATTTATGCCTTTTTATATGCAGTTTAAGAATAAAAATGATCATTAATCTTATTATTTAATGGTCACATTAATCACTTCCTTACAAAAATAGACGGAATAATGGAAAGTGGAAGCGATTTCACTCCCCTTGAATAATTTTAAAAATTTAAATCTTATAAATATAAAAATAGAAAGGCTATATCCAATTTGATAATATTTATGTACTTGACCTTATATATTTTTAAAAAAATTATCCAATTAAATGAAGACAAGAAAATTCTAATATATTAATAATATTAATAATAAGAGTTTGTTATAAAATAAATAATCTATAAAAAATTTGCATGTTTTGATTTAATTATAAACAAATACATTAAATATATAATTTTTCCTATCTGATTCAATCAAGCAATACTCAAATCAAATTCAATAATAATAACAAACAAAAAACAACAAGCCTCATTCCACTAAATGAGATGGGCTACATGGATTATATCATAATATTATGCTCTAAATTCAATAATAACAAATAATAAAATAACAAATATTTGTATGAATAAAAGTTCAATGGTAAAAATGATTGATAAATGTAGAATTGTATCATGAAAACCGACAGGAATTATCTAGTGAATTATTGTTTGAATTTTTGTTAAGAGGAGTGCCAACATTTAATGCCAAACTATATGGTGAATAGGATTATATCTGAGAAGACCCATACAACAACGACGACAACAAGAAGAAGAAGCTAGTATTCATCATGCTTCAGTCTCATCATGACTATGCCTTTTAACCATTACATCCCATTCTACTCCCTTGAAAAAAATCTCCAAGACACAATGTAAGTCTCATACCACCTAGTGGGGTCAATTACATTAATTGCATGAGATCTATTGAAATAAAAAAATTGTATCATGAAATAGACCTATCTAGTAGTGATGCTTATCTTCTTCATCAACTAATACAGATTATATTTTTACATAATTAAGCAACTTGCATTATGAAATTACATATGGTGCATGCTCCACTAGTTCCTCAGCCTGGAAAACATTCAAACTTTATATATAATTGAAAATGGTGGGGTTTATGTAATTATTAAGATATTTGCAATCATAACCAAACAAAACATGAACAGTAACATTTTGTACTTATTTCTTGTCTTTAATCTTTCAAAAATGTTATCATTGTAAACCCACTACGTTTAAGAATTTATTTATTTACCTGTCATGATACCCATGTGACAATAACATATCCAAATTAATTATGGCAGAGAAAATATAATTTTTAGTTTTGTAAACTTTTTTTAACTATAATTCAATCCCCAAATTTTTACTTATATTATCTAAGTTATCATAATTTTTTAACTTAGAATATTTAATCCTTATAATTTCTTAACTTAATACAATTCATGCACCATAATTTCTTAATTAACTCAATAACTTATAAAGATTAAATTGTACTAAGTCAAAGTTTAAAGTCTAAATCAATAATAAAAAAAATTAGGAATTAAAAGTTATATTATCATGTAACGGTACTATTACCTATCAATGACATGTATTATCTTTAAAGCACGACAAAAACATTCCTCATTGTTTAATATGATAAATCACACCCTTTAATATATAACACTGATGCTTACATTACACCAAGAAAAGCATACTCCATTATTATTCTCGTCACATAAACTTGCATCAGATTCTTCTTCGTCGTCGCCGTTGTCGCACAATGTCGTCTTCTTCGTTCAGATCATCTTCAGTTTCAGTTTCAGATAATAGCTTCAGGCTAAACTTCGACGAGCTTCGATGGGTGATGGAGATTCGAAAAACCCTAGAGGAAGAACATGAAGAAGAAGGTGAATTCACAGTGTCAATCTTCAACGTGCCGAAGCTGCTCATGGTTTGTGATCCAGATTCGTATGTGCCTCAACAAGTGGCCATAGGACCATACCATTATTGGCGACCAGAGCTGTATGAGATGCAGAGGTACAAGCTTGCTGCTGCAAGAAGATTCCGAAAGCATCATCTGCAGAATCACCACAAGTTTGAAGACCTTGTACATCAGATGACCAAGTTGGAGCCCAGGTACGTAAATTAATGCACTTTGTGACATGCTTTACATCATTATCTATTGATCTGGTTCAGCCATTCAGGTTGTCTCTTCAGTCTTCAGATCAAATGGTTCTGTCCCTTCTAGATAAGCACAAAATCTCCCAAAAGATCAGAAAACAAGCTAGTCTGCATGTAACATGATACTTAAGAGCAAATTATGGTACTCACTTCGTACCAAATTATAAAACACTCTTTAAAAATTAGATGTTTCAAAGTATACAACATTTTGATATATCAAAATAAGATTTTATTATGATGTTTTGTCAACATTATCCTTTTTATATATTCTCTCTCTTTAATATTAATCTTTCACTTAATGGAGTATTAAATGAATGATATTTTTAAAAGCTTATATTTTTATCTTGAAAAAAAAATAAGGTTGTAAAATATATTTAATGAAATTTATTGATATGAGAAGGATTTGGATCTCATCATCCATTTTCTCATTTTCTTCTTCTCATCACATCCTCACCTTTAGATTAAAATTCAACAGTAGATATTTAGTTAAATTCATCCTTTTATTTTAACTATAGTTTACAGTTGTGAAATCAGATTTTAACAGTTTAAATTTATTTATTTATTTATTGTTTTTATTATAATAGTTTTATAAAACATTAAATCTTAACCGTTCAAGTTAATCAAGGACAAGGACAAAATGAGGAGAGGAAAAGGAGAGAAAGGAAAATGAGAAGATCCAAATCTGTATAATTTTATTTAAAGTATCTTATAATTTAAAATGGAGAGAATGTTGTTTTTTGTTGAAGTCTGGAATCATCTGACCATTAGATGCATGCGGCTAGATCTTTGTTCTCTTCAGCTTATTAGAGACCTATTCTATATATTGAATGGTTTGAAATTGATAGTTATATGAATTTCATGAAATTTTCTTTTTTAGAAAAAGGATAGACGGGGAAATTATATTGAAAAAAAAAGGGGGAAACTTTACAGAAATTCATAGATCTCAGTTTTAGAGAATTTGCTTCCATATATGTGAGATTTTGATTTGTGAAATTGTGGTGGAGTTTGCGGAGAAGGTATAAAAATGTGTGCGGGCTCTCCCTCATTTTGGTTTTCACTCCATCTCTTCTCTCTGTCCCTCCTTTGAAAAGCCACAAAACTCTAAAAGATTCAAACTCTGGGACTCAAATGGGCATGCAGCAACCGCATATATATATATATATTAGCCTAGGAGATCTGTTTAAAAGGCAATGAGACTAATTGAGAGTATTTTGAGGATCAAACTGAAGAGTTTACTCCCCATCTGTTTCAATAAATGTGTTTTAGGATACAAGTTTAATGTTAAATTTGTCCATAAAATTAACTTCATTGCCCCTTAAAATTATTGGAGTAAATAAGGGTATATTATAAAAAGGGTAAATGAGTAATTATCCCAATAAAGGGTGCCTAAGTTACTAAACTAAATAGATTTGGAATGGGTCGGGGAGAGGAAGAATGACAATTAAGTCTTAAAATATTAATTTAATGATAGTTAAGTTTTGATAAAAAATTCTAAAAAATAATATGCAAATATTGATTAAAACAGCTACAATAGGAATATCAATTAAAAATTCAGAGTTATTAAAACATAATCTCTCCATTAAAAAATATAAATCATTTTTAACCGAATTTCACCCCAATAAAATAGTTACTTATTTTCAAACTAATCCTATATTATTATATTTATCCTTTTTTAATAGGATATTTTATCTTAAAATAAATATAAAATCATTTATTCAATAGAAGTACTTTAAAAACAAGACAATAATTACATTTTAAAAAATTAAAAATACCTTATATTTTTGAACATCTAATCCTTCAAAAATACTTTACATTTTTTAACGGAGTGAGTAAATGCATTGCAATTTAATCACTCAAGTAATAGTATGAATTCTTATTTTCAATTGATTTTACAGAAAAAAATGACCCTTGGACAATTATAAGTTGGGCATGTAATGAAATTTCTAATTTTATAATTTCGCACTCCTACTCTTAACGTTTTGACCCTTGGATTAAAAAAAAATATTTGAATTCAAAAGCTTATTAAATATGTAATATTTTAATGATTGAGATAAGATATGTAAAGGTTATATTTACATAAAAACCTATATCAATCTATTTAATATAATTTTTTCAAAAAAATATGACCAAACAACTTATGTTATTACAATTTTAATTTTAATGTAATTATTATTTTCAATTAAAATTATTATTTTTAAATTTAATTATCTTCCACCCCTCGCTCCAGTCCTAGTTCCACCATTATTGGAGGACCTAATTATAATTGTCATTCTCATGTTATTGAGCACTTTGGTCTCTCCGAAAGAACTGATCAGACTCAAAGTAGGCCTGATTATATTATATAAATTTGAAGCGGCTAAGTCCATAAACCTCTAAGACAATTCAGTCCAATAGATTTGGCACTAAATTTTGAAGAGAGAGTAGGAAAGTAAAATTGGCAGCATTTTTTTTCATAGTAGCTAAGATATAAAATAAAAATAAACCATCTGATGATTACATTATTTAAAAAAAAGAAAATTACAACCAGCCTCCCAAAAAAATTAGTTACGAACAAGGATCAATGTAGAGCGATTTATTATTAAAATGTGAAACATGATTTGTTTTTTTTTTAAATAAAACTTATTGTTAGTCTTTGTTTATATTTAATTTATTTAGGAAGGGGGTGATTGTAATTCTCCTTTTGAAAAATTACATACTTCTATTCTCTCAGGACCAGCTTGCATAGAATAATAAATTCTGTCTAAGATATTAAAAAATATATCTTCTAAGTAATGCTTAGATTCGTAAATTTAAATTTTAGATTTAAATTTATATATTTAAAATTTTTTATCTGGATAATTTAAAAAATTTTAAATGACTAAAGAAATGAGTTGATATTTAAAATAAAAATTAAAAATGACAAATGATAAATTTATTTTTATTTTTCATTCCACCATAGACAAAAACTAAAGATTAGAATAAAAGATATAAAAAATATAAAAATATTAAGAATAAAAATGTGAAGAAAACAAGTAATTTAAAGTGACTGCAATTGTATTTTTTGTTACTTTCCTTTGTTAATAAAAAAAATAGTGACTGCAATTTTTAAATAAAGAATTTGAAATCATAAAAAAATGATAATAAAAAAAATAGATTTAGATTAAGAGAATAATTGTGAAATTTCTCCAATTGAAGTACCTTGAGACATTGGAATGAAAGACGAATCAAGAGAATTTAGGGCCTATTTGATAATTTATTTTAAAAATATTTTTTTATTCTTCAAAATAAAAAAAAAACAAAAACTTTTGTCCGACAACGTGTTTTAAAAAGTATTTTAAAAAATAAAAAAAAAATATTATTATAAAAAATAAAAAATAAAAATATCTTTTAGATATTTTAAAATTATTGATGGAAGAATGAAAAAATATTTATATTCATTATTTTTTTTTTCTCATCTATAAAACACCAAATTCTTAAAATAATAACAATAATAACAAAAGAGCAGTTTCAAACTGCTGCAGTTGTTTTCGTTTAATCTTTTTTTACATATCGCCATGCGTCAACAGGATTCGAGCAAGCTACCACAAGTATTTGGATTTCAACGGCGAAACGTTGGTGTGGATGATGATCATTGACGCCTCATTCTTGCTTGAGTTCCTTCAAGTTTATGCAATCCAAGAAGGAAACAAAATACCTGGAATTTCCTCCAGAATGTCTCACTTGGTGGATTATGCAGGGAAGAAGTCAGCCCACAATGCAATTCTAAGGGACATAGTTATGCTGGAGAATCAAATCCCTTTGTGCGTTTTAAGGAAGATGCTGGAGTTCAAGTTCTCGTCACTAGACGATGCAGATCATTTCCTGTCTCTCATGCTAATCGGGTTGTTTAATGAACTCTCCCCCTTCAAAATGATGCAGGATTATCCAGATGTTCAGATCTCAGAGAGTGCTCATTTGCTGGATTTCTTTTACGACATGATTGTTCCCAGAACTAATAATGATCAACAGCCTGATCTGGTTATTCAGGTGGATGAGTTTATTGAATCCAAAGGAGGGAACAATGGTGAGGAATCGAACGCGAACTCAAGCTATTTGAAGAAATTCCTCAGAGAGGTATGGAAGATTCTTTCAAAACTAAACAGAGGGCCTGCGAAATTAATCAAGAAGGTATTGCTTTCTAGACCCCTGAAAGTGTTTGTTAAGTTGCCATGGACAATAATCTCAAACCTACCTGGAGTTAAACTCATCAAAAAACCTGTTGAATACTATTTTAACTTCACACAAGAAGAAAAGCCAGAAAATGGTTCGGCTTCTAATAGTCTCATTGAGAAGCCACCATTAATAGAGGAAATCACAATCCCATCTGTTACTGAACTCATGAAATCTGGGGTTCGTTTCGTACCCACTAACGGATCCGTATCAGGCATCAAATTTGACCCAAAAACACGCACTTTACACCTTCCAAAAGTTGGCCTAGACGTCAACACTGAAGTGTTCTTGAGAAATTTAGTTGCCTTTGAAGCATCAGTAGCATCAGGGCCTTTGGTTTTGACACGATACACAGAATTAATGAATGGGATTGTGGATGGTGATGAGGATGCTAAAGTGCTTAGAGAAAGAGGGGTGATTCTGAACCACTTGAAGAGTGATGAAGAAGTGGCTGACTTGTGGAATGGGATGAGCAAGTCCATAAAGCTGACGAAAGTGCCATCGTTGGATAAGGTGGTTGAAGATGTGAACAAGTATTATGATGGAAGATTGAAGGTGAAAGCCTGGAAATTCATGAGGAGTTATATCTTTGGGTCGTGGCAGTTCTTGACGTTTTTGGCTGCAATTTGTCTCTTGCTTTTGATGATCTTGCAAGCTTTTTGCTCGGTCTATACTTGTAATCGTTACTTTCAAATGGCTGTTTCTCACTGATTCATTCTTCTTCAACCTCTCATTTCTGATGGAGTTCTGAAATCTGTGTGAGCTCGAGTGGCCAACATGTTGACTGTCCACAAACTTCCTGGATAAGTTTCTTTTAATTTTTCTTCAACTTTTGAATTGTTATGAATTGTGAAATGTATTTGTAATTAATTGACTTTCTTATGGCCATCAGTTACTGAGTTTTTTTTTAAAAAAAAATTCATATGAATCAACATTGCTTTATCTTATGTGGCTTGATAAAATTTAAAAATCATGCCACTATAGCAAATCTCAACCAGCAAGCAAAACAGAGGGAAACTCTTGTGCTGGAAGATATCGAATGGTCTTGTATATTCACGGTTTGTTGACTAATCGAACCAGTGAAAATCTTATAGGAGTATGTGATATATCATATATCAGATTTCTTGATCAAAATCTAATAAATATATAATTTTTTTAAGTAATAACTCCATCTACTAGACCTTTTGGGGAAAAAAATGCAAACCATGTGCATTACATTTAAAGAATAAATTTTATTCTTCATAAAGTTTAGTGTTAGTGAGCAAAATAGAACCTGAAGTATTATACGAAAAGCGCTCTAAACTCTGAATTCTTAAAATATACAAAATAAATTTTAAACTTTTAAATTTATAACAAATTAAATTCAACCGTTAACTCACCATTAATATCGTTACTGTTTATTAAGTAGGGCCTATTCAAAATGCTAATGTAGCAGTTTCTTAGTATTGTGTCATTTTTAATGAGCACCACAGACTTTAAACTATTATGTGAGTAACATTCTGAACACTGAATTTTAAAATTTAAAGCAAATTACCTCCACCATTTATGTGATGAACAATAACTATTATGTAGACCAAATTAGTATCAGCTTGGTCTGCCGCAATGAATGCATCGTTGGTCGTAATGAATGACTTATAACTTTGTGAAATAACCATTTTTGCCTTTTTTTTGCAATATTTTTCAAACGATTGGTATCTCATGCTTTCATGTAATCTACAACTCTGATTTAGTCTTATTTTGAATAATATTTATTTATTTAATTGTAAAAACTTGTAATCCCATTTTAAAAGAAGTTTAAGATTTAAATTAACCAATTAATTTGGGTTTGAAATCTATCAATGAAGTTGTCAACTTTTGCATCCATCATCTGTAAAATCTTTTGATACTTAAACTTTTTTCAAATAGAATCTCAATTTTTCATCATTAACTAAATAAAAATTATTCAAAATAAAATTAAATCAAGTTATAGAGTATATGAAAGCATGAAATACCAATCGTTTGAAAAATATTGCAAAAAAAGGGTAAAAATATTTTTTCGCAAAATTATGAGTCATTTGCCAAGGCCAATAATACATTCACCGTGGCAAACTATGTTGAAGCTAATTTAATCTATATAATAGTTAGTGTTCTACATATAAACTATGTGGGTAATTTGTTTTGAATTTTAAATTTCAGGATCCAGGATACTACTAACGCAATAATTTAGAGTATGTAGTGCTCATTAAAAATGAGACATCAGCAAGAGATTGCCACATCAGCATTTTGACTAGGCCCCACTTGATGAACAGTAACGGTATTAATGATTAGTTAACGGTGAAATTTAATTTACTATGAATTTAAAAATTTAAAATTTATTTTTCACATTTTTAAAATTCAAAATTCAGAGCGCTTTTCACTCAATACTTCAGGATTTATTTTACTCATTAGCCTTAACTTTTATATGACTTGTTATAAATTTTACATCTTATATTAACTTTCGCATAGATAATAAAATGAGTATATAAATCATTTGCAATACAAGTCACATTATAAATCAAATTGATATAGAGAAACTTAAATTCATCTAAATAGTAATAATATTTTTTTGGTTTCTAAATATTAATAATAATGCTAGTTATATAGAAATAATAAATGTTTTCGACTGAGCATAGAGATGACATGGGGAGAGGCATTTAATGTCTAATTTATTAAAAAAAGAAGAAGAAGAAGGAAGAGATAAAAATACTTTTAAATTGTTTTAAAAAAAAATACTTTGAAACTTTAAAACAAGAAGATCACCATTGAAAATGCCTAACTAAATTAAGTGGAAATGGAAACACGCACAGAGATATAAATATACTCATGATGATAATAAAAAAAATGTTTCATTTTATATATCTTTTGCAGAATTCAAAGTAATATTTTCTACCAATTTATTTTATTATATCCTTATTTATACGGGTAATGTGACAATGCTTTATCTGTTAAATTAAAGGCAAATTTAATAACATGGCTAGTACTTGTTTCTACGTTTAAATGTTCCTTAATTTTAATAAAATATATTAAAAATAATTTATAAATAAAATTAAAGTGAGTAATTTTGATGCAATTTCTGACATCATTCTAGCCAGATATCGACGGTGATGATGAGTGAAAAATATCATGCTGAAGGCCAATGCATTTTGAATTGTTTCAATTACAAGTCTATTGGTCTAAAGGTTCCAAATGAAAATATACTTTTTTATGAAAAGATGCATTTGTCCTAGATATATAAGATTCTTATGTGCATGTACAACATAATATATATATATATATATATAAAGAACATGACAATGTTTATATATGAACAATAAAGTATTCATTTATTATACAAGGTATATATAATTAAGTTGAATAATAATGTATAAATTTTTTAAATATATGTACAATATAATGTCCATAAAGAACATGTTAAGGTCCATATATGAACAATACAATATTATTTTATCATATATGTCCAAGTTAAATGATAATGTATAAGTTTCACATGTATAACGCTCCATAAAATACATTACAAGGTTTATATGTGAATAATATAATATATATTTATTTTACAAGGTTTATATGTGAATAATATAATATATATTTATTTTACATAATTCGCATGGTTAAAGTTAAATATATTTTCACAAAAAAATATATTTATATTTAAAATCTTTGAGCATGTAAAAAAAAAAAATTCATAGTATATTAAGCATTAGGTTTGATTTTTTTTTTTTCATTATAGGAGCCTTAGGTGTAGTTCTCCCAAAAAATTACTCATAAAAATGAAAAAATGGCATTGAAGAACCAATCAAAATTCTTAATTAAAAAAATATCCAAGAATTATGAAACTGCTTTGAAAATATTTGGTATATGATCTAATGTGACCAAAGTCAAATGTCAGATGTCTCATGTCATATCAGAAATTAGAATAATCCCCCATGCAAGATACATAAATGCCTTAGTATTTAAAAGGTAAAATTTAATCTAAATATAAATATTAAAAAATTATTCTAGTTTATTTAAAGTAAAATACATTGTTTTATTAAAATATAAATATTAAAAAATTATTTAAAGTAAATTATCAATAGTTACAAAATACAAACATACTTTTACTTTTAAATTTTTATTTTTATTTATCCAACTATTAATTGATAGCTAAGTTATATGTTTGACCAAAATACCAATATTGATATATTCTTTTAAATTTTTATTCACATTGTAAATTTATTAGTTATGCCAACTTAATTTTTTAGTATTTTAAAAAACATTAAATATATAAGTTTGTTAAAATAATATTTCAAACACATATTAAAAAAATTAATGAAATGTGATTTTAATATAATAAAAGATAAATTAGTCATTGTTAAAATAATTTACGTTTATTTTTATTTAAAATTTATAATTTTAATAAAAAATTTAAGCTATTTTATTTAAATATTATCATAATTAATTGTTTAAAGTTTTTTCTTCGGTAAAAAATCGTTTGAAGTTCCTTTTTTGGCCAAAGTTTTGTTTTCCCATGCATCAGCTTAATACAAATTAAATTTGTATTTTAAGGATCATACTATAATTTATATCATAATATTACTAATAAATTATAATTAAAATGGTTATAAATTAATTAAGAAAATAGTATAATCCATGACTCCATGTTATAATACTATTCATCAATGTTATGTACATGCATTATAATTAATATAATGATTAAGAAAAGATTAAGTGTGCAAAGATAAATTCATTAATATTATATAATTACCTTAAAGTACATAATTATATAAATTTTTTCATAAGTTTTCAAACTTTAATATACTTTTACAAATAAATAATAGAATAATAAATTTTCTATCTTATGCATTTAAAAAATATGGACAAAAACATATTTTTATTTTTTGGTGAACGGACAAAAACTTTTTCTATGACAAGCCATGAAAATAATAGAAGGCTAATGAACGAATAGGATCCTGAACTTTTGCTCAAAAATCATCTTAAATCTTAAACTTTTAAAATATACAAAATAAATTTTAAATTTTTAAATTTATAGCAAAATAAACCCTAACAATTAACTTTTTTAATACCGTGACCGTTCACACGGGTACTATAACAGTCAAAGTTAATTTCATAACAAAATAAATCTTGAACAGTACTTGAGTGAACAGTAATGGTATTAAAAAGTTAACATTTAGGGTTTATTTTGTTATGAATTTAAAAGTTTATGATTTATTTTGCATATTTTAAGAGTTCAAGGTCTAAAGTAATTTTTGAACAATAATTCAGAGTCCTATTTATTTATTAACCCAAATAATAAATATACACTAACTTTTTGGAAAAATTGCTCGAAGGTGCCTTATAATGATTTTAATTATTAAGAAGTCCCTAGAGTGCATAATGTACTTTCAAGTTCAAATTTTTGTACAAGTTATCATTTTATCTAATTGCACAGTATTTGAAATTTGGCAACAATTCGTACATTTCATGAGGCGTTAAAATAATTGAAATATTTGCGTGGAATTTCTCAGTGATTTATCCTAAAGGTTTTTCTCTAGACTGTATTATTCCCATATAAATTTTTTTTATTTCCATATAATTTTTATTTAAAAATAAACTTTTATTTCATAAATAACAACTTCGTTTTTTTTTTCAGAATTTCTTATCCCATGGACAGTAAAAGCATAAATAATATAATCATCTATGTTAAGAATATGTGCAACAAATTATTTTATTTTTACATCGATAACTTAAAAGTTTATTAATCTATGCATTTTAAAATACAAAAATAATTTGTTATTTCAAAATGTGTGTTATCCCGTATAATTTAAATTTAAATCTAAACAACAGAATATTCTATTTAATAATTTATCACTTAAATTTATATTTTATACTACAAGTTA